ACTCTTTCCACCAAAGGTCCCTCTGTGTATCCACACACTCCCACCTTGCCTGAAAGTGAGTTCAGGAAACTAACTCAAACCCAGCAGGAGCTGGGAATGTCTTGAAAGGGCGGGAAGGTTCTGTGCTGAGCGTTGTCTTCCCCTTACCTGCACGACTTCTTTCCTCACATTGACAATGTCTAACCAGTCGTTGAATCGTGGGTAGCTGTTGAGCTCTGCTGTTCTGTCGTGGAGGGGCACGCTCAGCTTACACTGCCGTTGTCTGCGGATGTAGTCAATCAGCTTCACCTGTTGGGATCCAGAAAGAAAACGGTTAGGGTCCCAGGGACAGGCTGGCACCTTCCTGGGCAATGTTGGCACAGTAGCCAGCCAAAGGGGTGCTGGTTTGTGAGTGGGGCTCTTTCACGATATAAAAATGACATACTCTTAGAAGCACTCAAGGAAGGTTTCCCTTGGACCAAGCATCTTTACTCCTCGACATTTCAGCAGAAGGCAGGACCTCGCAGGGCCCATCCCCCTGCCAGGCACTTCTCTAAACCCATATCAACAAAAGCTCTGTGCAGAGGCTGGGTGTCCTGCCAAAATGTGAAACGGCATCCAAACCATCAGAAACAATCAATGATATTCAGTTTAAAGGCGCTGCATATGTACACGCAACCTCATTCTGGATGCTGTGGATATGGCTAGCCTAACCTGCAGGACTAGCTGCCCGCTCATCCATTGGTCCTGTATGTTTGCTATATTCTCTTACATCTGGCCTCCATTTGGGCTAGGAGATCAGTGAGGCAGGAATAGCCCAAGTACCCAAAGACTCTGAGGCCCATTACCTAATGGGCATTTGTATTATAAAATCAACATTAAAAACAACGATCTTAAACCAACAAAAATTCAGGCAGTTTGACTCGATGATCATTGTAAGTCTTCTATTCTATCCTAAAGCTTTATTCCAAAGCTTTATCGCCTGACCATCTCATGCCAAATGCACTACACAGAAACCCTCACTTTAGGCATAGGAAAGTAAAACAACAACAAGGAACGTTATTTGTGCCTTATGTTTGCTTATCAAAAAGAAAATACTCTCAAAAGATTTCTCACTATGTCACACATTCCCATGGGGCAGACTTAAGCTTCAAAACCTTCCTAACAAAACAATGCCTGAAAGCAAGTCAGTTGATCCATGATTTATAAACCAAAACATGTTCTTAGTCAACAAATTTTAGCATTTGGGACAAGATCAGACTACAAAAGTAAAGGAAAAAAAACCCATGGATTCTTTGCCCACTATAATATCTCTCCTCTTAAGTTTCTGCTCAAAATATT